CTCATTCAGAAAAGCCACTCTTTGAGAGTGGAAGTTAAGAGATAAGTACACATCATTCTGACATTTAACCATACATGATTTAGTGGATACGTGTTGGTTTGTGTCTTCCAACTTGAATCACAAACAAGGATCTAATCAATTGACTAGTGGTTGGTGATTGAACAAATTCAACAGACGATGAGCCACTCACAAGTCGTTATCACCGTCTATATTTTTACAACCCAGTTACAGGTCTTCTTCAGTGAAATGCCATGGTGTACTGTGAACATCGTTTTTGTAGGTAGGCCTACTGCTTGCTTTTCTCTCACCGTGGAGGAATAATCTAGACAGCTAGTCTGATTACCATTGGTCTTTCATCCGAGTCATTTCTTGATATGAATAATCCAAACAAAGACAGGATCAGAATCTGTATAAAAAAGGAAAACAAATTCTGATTTGTTATGAAGTAAAACACTCGGTGACAAACTGTGGCACTGTGAACTGTCACAGTTCTCAAAATTCATTTGCTAATGATGTCTCTGATTCTCGTAATGTGCAGCTGGAGAGAGAGAGGGCGCAAGTTTCCTAGCAACGGAGGCTCCTTTCGTGGGAACTGCACTTTGCTGGTTCAAAAAGGAAAATGATATCCACGCGTTATAGTTAAGTCGCTTTACCAACAAAATGAACACTCCCCACCAGTCAAATCTCGCCTTGTGATGATTACCATTTTCGAGGCCTACGTAATTTTATGTTTAAAGGTTGGAATACCTCGTGAAAAGCATGAACATGCAGGGGTCTTATATTGTACGTAAACAAATTATAAAGGCTTCCCAAACCGCGACAACTACATGTCGCTATGTGGTTGTTGTCGTTTGCACGTGGAAAGTAAAGTTGAGACCTTACATAGACAGCAGTCACCACCGAGGAGGCTTGCACACTTGGCTCCAAGTGGAGGACTGATGCGCTCACGACGTACAAGAGAATAAACACCACATCCCCAAGGAACAGGAGCACACTCAGCCCCAGGACTTCGCGAGGCTTGTACGCCATCGGGGACTAGCCTGAAAATAGCAAGAGGTTGGAGCTTTAGAGAAAGGACGGCGTGGCTGAGGAGGAAGTTAAGAGACGCGAATGAGGGTCCAAAATGCACGCACAGTCACAGCAAAAAAAATAATAAAATGGTGAACAGGTTAACTTAGACACAACGCAGTACCGGTATTTTTCTGCACTTAGCATTCGCATTGCCTGGGTCCTTTGGGCTTCCGTACTTACGTCTATGCCCCGGTAGTGTGAAAAGGCGTACCGAAGTCTCTCTTTTACGATGATCTCCTCGAATCCGCAGTCAGCTTACTGGAACTTTTACCAGGTACTATAATTTTAATGGGGGCGTGCTAACAGGGATTGGTCTTACCCGGAAATAAAAATCGCTAATGTTGTCATCGTACCACAGCCTAAAAAGCTTGAGGGCTCATTCTAACTGCTCAGTCATCCAAAGCCCATGTACGTGCGCTACCTACATTGTGACTTGCTGTGACGTCACGGTCGAATTACAATTTCAAAGAGATGGTGCCATACGCCACCAGTCAAGTGACATAGAGCTCACACGGACATCATCATTCTTAACACCACACGCCTGGAAACCCGTCTTGAATAAAGGCTATAATCGGGACTCTTTTCGAGGATTTTTTTAAAGGGTTGTCGAAAAGTACTGCTTTCAATCGGGGAAACGTCCGTGCAGTATGGAGACTAATCTCCTCTCAAGAAACATTTTCCCATAGGAAGGTACGTGGTGTATCCCCAGACAGTTGTGTAAAAAAAGACAAATGCGGGAACTACAACTTCACCAGTAGTCAATGGTACTTTCTAACAGTGCGCATGCGCGATACGGCCAAATTCAAATGACCATAAATTAAATATTTGTAGAATGTTTTCCCGTGCCCATGATCAACGACATCCCGAGCAATAATGCGCTTTCCAGTCAACTGGGATGTTAAGTGGCTATTATAACCAAGGGTGCAACCATACCCCCAGGAACTTGTAAGTCAGTAACCAGATAATCGAAAGTAAATCGAAAGTTTGGGACATATGTGTTGGGCCATAGTTTAAGACAGCCATCGCTTGAGCTTGCCCTTAACTTTGAACAAGGCTGGTTTTGGAAAGCGCACGCGGCAAAAAAAAGAGCACATCACCTTAAGGTCATACGCGACAATGAGACATGCCCACGGCCACGAGCACCGAAGATGTTCGAGCTAGCGGTGCCTTTACCTGAAGGGTCTTGCATTTTTGAAACACCGACTTGGCTCAGTGGGAGATCATCTTTAACGCGAATGACTGACGTGACATAAGGGTACCGGTACAAACCACACGTGACAGAAATGGGCTTTTTTTAGCTAGCATTTCGGTGGTGCCTAAATTTTGATGACCTTCAGCAACTATCCTGTCATTCTTTCTATTCAGAGAAAACCTGTATGTGAGAATTTCACCATGACACTCTAAATATCAATCCGTAATTATTACCTGTACCTGAACTCCATTTAAAAACTAAGATATCATTAAGTCAAATAAATTACTCAACCTGACTTCATCCACTTCAATTTAGTTTCACCGATGTGTTTAGTTTTATGATTTTGGGTTATATCTTTCTCTAAAATCAAGTATGTATACTGTAAATACATGTAGAGTTATAAATATGTTAATTTAATTCATTAAAGCGGCATTTACTGTCGCGGCTTACCCTGGATTGATATATGAAATAAAATCGATCAAAATAATTACATGTATCGACTAATTGCTACCAATCGCTGGAAAGAAACACCCTTTTCCCTGTCCATATTTTGTCAAAAGTGAAGGTATAAGACAAGGTGTCGAAAGGGCTTTGGCCCTTTTGTTGTTTGATGCACGAGTCGTTTTAAGATTACCGCGTTCTTTAATGTTTGTTGAATTTTAATCAATGATGATTGTCATTTTTTTAATCTTTAATGATTTTTGTGTAAAGCTATAATTATGGACTCTCTTCAGTGCCCATCGTTCAAAAGATAAAATTGTGAAAATGGGGGTTTCAGGTAGAGCAAAGATCTCCATACTTGTTCATGGATATCAACTGCGTTTTCTTGCGATAGGTTATATCAGTTTACACGTCACACTGAGATCAGCAGGAAAAGACACTGGGTATTCATCTGGCAAGCAGTTCCGAAGGAAAGAATGCTGTCTATTAATGATAACAGTGAAATATTATTTGTTTAATTAAACACCGTAACCAGTTTAAATCTCATAAAAAAAAATTAGTTATATTTTTACAACTTCCACAGTTTGGTCAAGTTTGCAGGCGCAGCATGAATTAACACTAATCTGCAGATCCCGAGAACTGCAATCTAGAACAAAGTTTCAGCTTATACTAACCAAAAAATGATAAACATAAAAAGGGGGACAGAGAGGTTCGAACCCCCCCAAAAAAAGTCCTTGTATTGTGTACGCACGACAGTGTCTCTGTTCACTGAAACTCGGTGTTTGTCTTAGAGCTTGTGAAATAAACTCACAAGCCTGCTAGGGTGGGACTCAAACCCACGACCTCCTGCTTACGAGTGTAGCTGTCTTATACACACTACCACCGATCTTGCCGGGGCCGGCTGGCCAGTGCGATTCAGATTTGTCAGCGGGTGCCATCAATAATTTACTTGGACTTCTTTGGATTTCGAGTTTTGGGACGTTTCCCGACGTCCTCGTTCACGTAGTCTGAGGATTCGACGGGTGCTGTGGCGTAAACATTTGAATCGACCTTAATTTCGTCGTAATCCTCTGACGGGTCGTCCACGTAGGCGTACAGCCTGCTATTTATGTCGCTGTCCCCCTGGGGGTCATTTCCGCTGCCAGCAGTTGGTGACGGGGCGGGCGCTCGGTCGTAGTTGCTGCGGTGGGCTGTCATATTTGTGCCCGGGGACTGGGCGTCGATGTAGGTGTAGTCCATGTTGTCGTCGCCGGTGTGGGCCGTTTGGTCGTAGGTGTGCTGTATGTCCGGCGCCCTCGTCTGAGTTTCGTGGATCAACGGTTGGTAAGTGCTTGGAGGCGGGCCGCCGTCGCTTATCACGGTGATGTTGTTGCTGGGTCCGGGGCGGCCGGGCTCCGCCGCACTTGGAGGGAGCGGGTGAGACAGGGTCAGGTTAGTGGGGGCAGGCTGCGGTTGCGCCGGTCCTGACTGTGGCGGAAAAGCCCCAGTCGGGGTCGCCTGAGGAGCCGGCGGTGCGCTCGGCTGCGCCACAGGAGGAGGCGCCATCACCGGGCTGGGCTGGGAGACGGGAGCCGTGCCGACGGCGGCGTAGGGCGGGGGTACCGGCTGTGGGTAGGAAGGCGGCTGGTTTAACTGCACGGGCTGGTGGTAGGGCTGCTGAACGGGGAACTGCTGCTGATGTACAAATTGGCCGCCTCCCGGGGGAAGGGTGGTGAAAACCACGGGCTGGGGTGCCTGCTGGTTCACGATCGTGTTTGTGTTTTCCAAGACGATGTTCTGAGGGCAGGCTGCGTTTCCTTGGTTCACCAAAATGATTCTCTGCAGTAGAAAAGGAAAGAAAAAGTAGACACGATGAAGCCTTTATAAAACTAGGATATAGTTATGTAAGGAACAGGCCATCAATGGAAGTCTTTCTAAACTCACCCCCCGCTGCGATCTAGTTCCCCCATAGCTCATTTGCAGAAAGAAAAATGATTGTCAACGTCCGATAGAGCACGCTACATTGGTACAGCAAACCCAGGCTGCAGTGCGTATCGCGCGTCCGGTGAAGACAAAATTTAGTCCCTACCACTGGCTGCCTTGAAATCGAGCCCACCACAAAACTATTGCAACCTTGCGGTTTTCCACCTGCGCTGTGCGATGTCTGTAAAGTTATGGCCTATTGTTCATTGAAAAATTTCCGAGGAGTGAGGCACATTGTACATTAGCCGTTTATAAAGGGTAGGCACAATGAAATTTGCTTAGATATAATTGATTTTTCTACAACTTTTTTTACTCTTCTTCAAAGTATAAACACTCTTTTACAATTAGGTTAAATGCACTGAGAGGTGCACTATTTTAAACATTTAAATTTACCCGTGCTTTCATGGACAACTGAGGGCACTGTTGCTGTGATGTCACCCAGGGAAGACATACAGTTCCGAGCCGTTGCATAGGTTTTATCAAATTGCCAACCCAGATTTGCTTGCTGAAAACATTTCTGAGAAAACCGCTGGTGCTCACTTGCACACAAATAACTGTCTTATGTACAAACCAATGTAACATTTAGGCATCACAGTTTTGCTCATCAGTATGGAAATACTCATTAGTATAAAAACCAAAAAGGCAGAAAAACATCCTTTGAAAAAAGTGACACAAAAGTTGCTAATATGGTCAACTTAGACGCAAAGATGCATTTTGGTTGCTTGTAGAGCATATACTGTAATAAGTTGTTTCAAATTTTCCAGTACTAAGCCCCAATATTAATCTGCAGAGGCTTGAAGTGGATCAGTCGGTCATAATTTTTACACGTTTAGAATTTCCTGTAGGCCCCCTACTATGAGGTGCAATTAACTTCTCCAAGACGGAAACATTGTTTGCGACCTGCAGAATGATGGTTAGGAGCCATTGCTGCGGTGGTATGAGCACGCTGGCGTTGTTTACTGGGATCAGTCTCTTTAGATTTAGATATTAGGTTGTAGTAGGACTTAGAGAGTAGATTTTAGATAGTAGGTTGCCAAAATACGACAAAAACCGTGGAGCCCACTGAAGAAAACTATGGGCTTCGAACTGGAGGGAGAGAGGGCGCAATTTCCCTAGCAACCGAGGCTCCTGTGGTAGTGACTGCGCATCGCTGGGCCACGAACGATTGTATGTAGTCGCATCACTGCCAGCACAATGAAAGCGTCCGACCAACATTGCTCTTGCCAACCGATGAGGTAGTGCTTCTGCTCAGGGCGGATTGCTCTGTCCTTGATCGAACTACATTAGGTTCAGATTCGTCATCATTCAAGGACAGCGAGGCCTCCACACACCCGTGTTTATTCGAAGTCATGGACACCAAATCTGAAACATCCGCTAAGCGTCCAAATATGCCCCGGCAGAAAACATCTGTTTTTGAGGCTGCCTTCGCGCTTGCAGTTTCCCTGAATAGATTTTACTGACAAAGGACGTCCCAACGAAACTTCCTATGTCATTGGAACGCAAACGACATGCACGACATCCCAATGTAACGCTTTTGCTTTTGAAAACCATTAGAAAACTCAAGATGTCTTTCAGTCACCTTGACTGCGTTAGCACTGGTCTATAGAGCTATTTTCGTATGAAACCGAAATCCATTGTGTCAATGTCAGTAATGCACATCGATACAATATCTTGATTCAGTTTAGAGACGATTTAAAAAGATATTAGGCCTTGGAAAAAAAACTATTTTTACCACCAATGGAAATTCTGTTCAATTTAACACTAGATGGGACCCTTTCTCCTGGCTATTTAATTAACTAATATTAATTGACTACTTGTATGTTTTTTTTTCTTTTCTTTTCTTTTCTTTTCTTTTCTTTTCTTTTCTTTTCTTTTCTTTTCTTTTCTTTTCTTTTCTTTTCTTTTCTTTTCTTTTCTTTTCTTTTCTTTTCTTTTCTTTTCTTTTCTTGATTTCATGTAACATGAAAGAGAAGCTAGAATAAAGTCACTGAGTGAAAAACAAAATATATATCTTGATTCAGAGTGGCACAATGACCGGCTTCAATTAAACCTAGAGAGGGCGTAATTTTCAGAGTAACGCTCAATTTGGTACTTGAAATTGTACTTCGCTTGTTCACAAGGAAATGCACGCCCTGAGTACGGTCGCATCGCTACCAACAAATTGTGCAATCCGACCAATAAGGCTCTTTTCAACCGATGAGGGGGTGCTTATGCTCGAGGCGGATAGGCTTGACAGTCAAAAATATCATGAATAAAAAACAATTGCCACAAATACAAAACATGTACATTGTACATATATTCTCTAGTTTCTTGAAAAGAAAGTTTCGTTTTATGTCTGAATCGTTCTTAATCGTTCTAAGCTTTGAATGTGAATTGAATTTAAAAATGGTTTATATCAATTTAGGTCAGAGAAAGGCCACCTTTCAGTCACAATGTCCATCTCAACTTAATCGTTTTCCATGGACACCTAAAAACATGGGCGTGTTTAATCTTGTTACCAGACGTACCTCTTGCACAACCCACGGCTCTTGACAGCAGCAGCAGTACTGGTAAGACGTCACGCACGTCACGATGCACAATACGAACGCTCCAATCATCATGGCCAGCCACAGAACGATGCCAACCCCGTTGCCGACCGGGGTCGACCCTTCCAGTGTGGTCGTACTGGCCTCGGTGGTGTTATAAGTCCAGTAGGTCCCGGAGGACCACAAGGAAAGCCACATCTCCCATACGTAGGCGTTGATGGTGGTGCACACGCAGGCCATGGTGGCTAGCATGCCAAAAATGCTGAGAAAGAGGAAGAGGCCACCCTGGGGAAGAGTTGGAAGAAAAGCGTAGGTTGGTTTTCGGCGTATGTGGTTTACGATGTTCCTTTCTCAGCCTCCATTTTCATGATTTTTTCAACCTCTAATGCCATTGTATCCTTTCACCGATTTTCTTGGTTTTAGATTTCCAAGCTACAGCCTACACAATCCTTACCATTAGGTGACAAACAGGAACGACAATAAAAACGATTATACAGTGTGTTTTGAAGAAAAGGAAACCGAGATTGATTTATTCATTTCTTGGACGTAAATAAATATTTTGGAAATTGGCAACTACCATTTAGTAAGTAATGATGTCCTCTTTCTTATGAGACCAAGAAATCCAATTTACTGACACAGATGGCTGAGCACGAACCAGTTCAATCAACCATGTCAGATCTGTTCTTGCCCCACATAGATATTTTGGTAAAGAACCTTGTCTGCCTAGTGCAGGGCTTTTAATCGTAAATAACCCCTCAAGCTCATCAGCCCTCATTTTAAGATCGATGGTGCTTTTTATCATTTCGTATCATCCAAACAAATGAAATCAGACATTTGTACAACCAGGGTGCACTTCGCTCACGTTTGTTCCTTTGTTAATGTTATCGACAGCAACGATTAGTTGAACTCATCGTTACATTGCACATAAACAAAAATCGATGTCTTTTGTTTTTGTCTTACAGGTGCAGTGGCGCAGAGTCCAGGAAATTGTCATGCATAGCCCACGGCCATGTGTTTTATTGTGTAAACGAGTCTAATTCAGTAAATGGGTCAAAATGATCCCTTAATGTACAGAAGTACTTTTACACGAGCTGCCTTTACGTGTTCTGTTCCATTTGTATCTTTGTGGGGAATTTCCTTTGTTTTTGTGTAGCAAAAAAAAAAAAAAATGTGAAGCACACTTTTCAAATTGCTTTCATTTTGTCCTGAGTCATCTCCTTGGCTGAAATTTCGACCGAACGTCCCTAAAACGTGTGCATTTGAAAATTCCTTACTTTTGAGTAAGTACCAAGTATCAGTTTTGTGAATGTCCCGAGGGGTACCGTTTTAATACCCCACCAGGAGAACGAATGTTCCCTTTGGGGTACTAACCATTGTTCCGGTACCCAAAGGCACTGTGAAAATCATACCCCTACATACAAAACCAGGTAAGACAAGCAAAAATACCTCGTTTTGTCCACTATTAAACAGATATTACTTGCGACTTCATTAAACTTTGAAATGTTATGTCCAAGCCTTATATTAATCCTTATTCCCGGTAAAGGTAGTGCGGGTAAATTTCTGTTCGAGGTGGGTTGAGGATTTGGGGAGATTAAGGTTTCAATTTGTCACATCTAAAGTTATTTCATAAAAACAAACAGATTTATTTCCGGGGATGCGCACAAAGAGGCAGCAGAAATGAATCAACTGTCTTTATTTTACGAAGTGGGGGGATCTCTGTGCCCCCTTCCACGGTCAATCGATGTCAGTGTTACTAGATATCGAATGAGGCCCATCTTTAAGTCTGACAATCGGACTTACGCATCCTTTCTCCGACTTCGTCGCTGACATGAATATACCCACGAGAGCAGTCGCCAAAATCTGAAGAGGAAGAACAAGTAAAAAAAAACTAGAGGTGAAAGACGAACGAGACAGTCGGTATTCCAACTGTGCAGGCCAGTGGCGCATCCAGGATTTGTGGGGGGGGGCTCGGATCAGAATTTGCCTCCTTCTGCATATGATACTGAATACCCCTACCCCCCCCCGGTTGCGCCAGGGCGGAGGACATGTATCCCAGACCAATGTCAGGTATTTGGGACACCGCACCTCAGGCGATTAAAGGACGGGAATTCCAACCTCTGCTCGCCGTGGGAACGCGAAGGGAATTCCCCCAACCGAGCCTATTATCCTAGGAATAAAAATACAAAACGTAGCTAACGGCACAGTTGATCAATAAGCGCCGTTTCTGCCGTGCGTCCTACCAGTGTTGGAAGTTACCGGCCGATTAATGACCAGCAAGTTGCATATGATGATGCACGATATGAGCCAAGGGGAACCCCCTTATGTTGTGTTTTCCTTGTGTCGTTACGTTGTTGAAATCTTTGGATTTCTCCAAGATTTTTCGGGTGATGCAGTGGGTACAATGGACTTTATTCACGTGGCCGGCCATATTGAATTTGAAAGCGAGGTTAGCTCTTCATTTTTGAATGTTGAGAGTACAACTGAAGCAATAAAATGAAATTTCGTGACAAATTTCCACCTGTCTACTCTGATGAGTAACTTCAAATTCATGATTGAACACATAGAAGTGTACATTGCCTGATTCTGACATTATTGAAAAGGAGGCTTGGAACCTACGGAAGTATAAAACAGTCTGGTTCCATCCTAATCTACAGTTTGCAATAAATAAAACAGGTTTGGGGAATAAGATCAAAAATGGCCTCCACTGAATAGGGTCTTATTGGCAACAGTAATACAACTTCACATGTTGACTGAAGGAATTAAACAGACTATTTTTCTTTCTTCAGAAGTTTCGTTGCTTTGAATGATAGCAAGGCAAGATGGTTGCCCCCAGACAGAAGTCTATAACCTGGGGTAAAATTATGGCTCATGCATCATGATGGGAGTGGTCCCCTTTGTCACGTGTCGTGCTTGGAATCAGGTCGCACGCGCGGACCACATCATGTTTGGAACTGCGGTTAAAATCCTTTACTACCAGAGCATTCTGTCACGCATGAAATGGAGGATTTGTTGAAAAAGAAAAGTGGAAGCCACCAGGAGTCGTGCCAGCTTGTATTTCTGAGACTTTTTTGACAAGAGGGCAATGGAGCCCTCTAACTGGCTCTATTTTGCAATATCGAGCGTTGGTAACAAGTTTCAAAATGGCGACTAGCTCTTAGACAATTTCAGAAGTGATCCCCTAAGGGTAAAAATATCTTCAAAAAGTTAAAGGTGAATCAATAAACATCGAAAAATGCAAGATGGGGACTTAAGTGTTCATTTGATGTGTGTCTTGGAAATTTGTGTTTTGCCCACTCACCAGGACGCTGGTCCAGATTGGCGATGCGAACGAGTACCCCACGGCTTGGCAGGAGACGGAGCTGCAGGCCAAGTACATGCCAAGTAGGGCCACTGAGCCTAGGAAAAGGCTCACGCTGGCCCCCAGGGCGACGCCTTGCTTGTAGGCCATCTCTGAAACCCAAAACCAAGAGAACATATCCTCTTAATACAAGGAAAGAATCAATACAACGACACGACTCCATGTTGTCTTTCAAGGCATACATCTTTTTTAAAGCATCTCGATTTTCCAAAGCTTATTGTGGCAAGCGGGTGTAGCCTACGTGACTGAAATGTACCAATAGTCCAGTTTGACATATCATGCTCAAAGTTCCCTCTTGTCCCCAAGTGTCTACTCAGCTCTGCTCTTTTGCATGGAAGTTGCCAAATGTAGTCGTTAAAAGTCACAGAAGTCAACCATTCAACATGCCTTGTACGCTTATCGCAAAGAGCATCATTTTCAACAAGCCGGTTAAGAAGCCAATAGTTTTTCCCGCAGGTTAAAGTCATACGGCAATAGTAAGTAAACTTATTTGTCTTCACTTGGAGTTGCCCTGGTAACCTGTGCACGAAATAATGTGTTGGGCACCAGGCACACTAGACCAATGGTTGACCTCTCTAGCGAATTTCCATAGTTTCATCATATGCGTGGACGGTACAAGTTGGTTACCACTATTATATCACATTCTGTGTCGTGGACGCAAGGCACTTTAGGCGTTAACACTTTTCTCTGGAGGTATGCCAGTAACTGTGACGTCATAGAATGCCATGTCATTGTGAGTTTGTTTCATATCAAAGCTTGTGGGTATGTTAATGGGTCAGTAACGCGTTAATATGAGCAGACAACAGTGTTCTTGGCAATGCTGGCGACTTACCATCCTAGATCTTGTCATTAATGAAAGTTATTGCTAAGATTATTTGTTTTCGGTCATAAAAAACACCTTTTAAATATTTTCAACATGACAAGTGCTTATCTCTGATAAAAAAGGCTCGATAATAAAAAAAAGTCTGGAACTACACTCCCACGTCATGAGTCAAGGCGTCATGATCATTTTTGTCTTTCAACTTCAGCCTACCGTAAAAATGGTTTGGGAAATTTTTTTTGTTGGCCTATGTGCAGCGTTGTTGCGCACCTGCGTGCAGCAAAGCAACCCGTGGGTGCCAGAGCCGGGCGGATGTGTAAGACTGATCAAGCCCACTCCCGGTCCGCTCAGCAAAATTCTCGCACGGGATTTGAGTCTGGCCGGGCAATGACAGTTTTTGCTTAGCTCAAGCCCACTTTCAACTCAGTAAAAACATTCCACGAGATCTGGTTACCTGGTTGTATGGGCCTATTTGACTAAGTGACGTAGCGTGGGGGTAAGGGGGCAAAACAACTGCCCTTCCCCGTAAGAACTCTTGTCCCCCCCGTCCTTTGCCCCCTCCTTTAAATACCGATGTGAATACCTCCTTCAAATACCCATGTGAATCAAATACCTGTAAGTCACTGCGCCACTTCCATGTATTTGATTCGCACGGATATCATCGCAGCATCGTTATTATTCGCTCACAGGGTTCTGAAGTCTGCCTGCAGGGGAGTCAGGTTGGCGTAGTGGTTCTTTCCTTGCCTTCCACCCCTGCGGTCCGGGTTCGAATCCCGGCCCAGTCCAACGGTGGATTGGGCTTTCAGTCCCTACCTGATTCCGAGGGTTTTACCCAGAGTAGGCCTATTCCTTCGGGGTTTTCCTCCCGCCTCTAAAACTGCTACTCACTCTCTACAGGTTACTTTAGGCTTGCGAGCTACAGTGCCTTGGGCACTCATTTAGAGGAATCCTTGGTATTGTTACCAGAAATGATTAATAATATGTAACATTGATTGTCACTAAAAAAACGAATCAGCAAAAAAAATGGCAGTGATCCTCTGACACACTGCAGCGTCCGTTTAAGGGTTTCGTATGACTCCGGCATCTTTGAAATACATGTAGAGCCCAATGTGAACCCATATCATTCGACAGACCGTGGTTTTCACATTAATTAAAACGCGAAAAACTGCACGTAATAACTTACCGAATGTTGTTGCAAACGACCCTGCCAAGTCCCCCTTTTGTTCCCGCCTATATGGGAAAGCACGGAATGGTCACAACTCGTCGAATCCTGGCAAATTTTCGACTTTTTTCGCAAGCCACACGTCCTGCGCCAAGGCACAAAAAGAAAAACCTCATCGTCAGTCTCACCCACGTTGTAATACCTCACATCGTGCGTCAGTGTTAGTCAGTATACCGTACTGGAGTTTCAATACGATGTGCCACCGGCTTCCGTTTTTATAAGTTCAATGGTTGCATCGCTCCACAAAATCCCTTCGGTGACCTTGTACACTCCATTGTTCAGTTCCCGGCTGGGTTGGGCGGAATTCGTCCATGTAGGCCTACTTTCATTTCAGCAACGGCACATGGATTCCAATAACAGTAAAACAAACACCTGTAGGCCTACAATGGGTACAGTTGACAAGAATGTATTCTTAAGTTAGTCATTTTCTGGGGGTCATTTATACAAGTAGTCTTTTTTACATTCGGCTTTCCCTTGCCTGCGTAGTACAACCTAATCTCAGTCCCCAGCCACTAACCGAATAGTCAGTCCTGATCGAAACCTATACTCTTTTCAAAATACACCATTATTTTTTCAAGAAATATATACCATTCAAATCTCAAGCATATCATGTACCGTACTCCTTTCTTTCTCTGTCGCAAATTTGCATAATAATGGCGCCTACGTTATGTGGTTGGTTGATACGAAACATGTATAATCATCGCCGAG